TGCCCAGGCGAGTCTCGAACCCGCGGGCTCAGGCAATCCAGTCACCTCAGCCTCCCAAAGGCGCGGGATTACAGGCTGAGCCACTGAGCCCGGCTTGCCCTTGTCTTTTATCTTGGGACCAAGTAATGTGCAAAGTTTATCCCAAGGTTTAGAGTTTGTCATTTTCTTCAAGTCTTCCTATGTGCCCTTCCATTGTGAAGAGTCAAGAATTTAGTTTTATTTAGCCCGAGAGTCACTGTGATTCCCTTTCTGTAGTTTCACATCTTTGTTATCAGTTCTGGGAATTTTTCAGCCAGTATCTACACATTTTGCTCCTCCTTCATTTTCTATACTCCTTCTTTCTAGAACTCCAAGGAGTTCCTCTGTATCTTTAAATCGCTCATATTTTCCATCTTCTTATATCTCTGGTGCTTTCTAGGTGATTTCCACTCATCTATCTTCCCATTCAGTAATTCTCTCCTCTGCTGTAATAAACCTGCTACATTTTTTATTTCAATGACCATATTTTTTATTTCAAGAAGTTCTACTTCTTTGTTTTAAAGTCTATTTTTATTTATTGTTTTGGATAATTTTTGTTTTATATAGTTTTTTGCTCTTTCCTATAGTACTATTTCTTTAACAGACTATTTTTAAAGAACATTTTGGCCGGGGCTCAGTGGCTCAGCCTGTAATCTTGCGCTTTGGGAGGCCAAGGTGAGTGAATCGCCCGAGCCCGTGGGTTTGAGACCCACCTGGGCAACTTGGCGAAACCTCATCTTACAATAAATCAAAAATCAGCTGGGCATGGTAGTGCGTGCCTGTAATTCAGGCTACTCGGAAGGCTGAGGTGGAAGGATCGCCAGAGCCCAGCAGGTCGAGGCTGCGGTGGCCGGGAGCGGCCACTGCACTCCAGTCTGGGGGACAGAGCGAGACTCCAACTCCAAAAAAAAAAAAAAAGAACATTTTTAGGCTCACAGCAAAATTGGGAGGATGGTATGAAGAGCCCCATGTACCCCACCCCCCATACACATAGCCCCCCGTTATCAACATCTCTCCCTGCTCATCACAGCGGACGAAATCCATACTGACACACCATTATCATCCAGCGTTCATAGTTTACTTTGGGGCTCGCTATTGTCCGTTCCATGGGTTTTGACAGATGTATACTGGCATGCGTCCACCATTATGGTATCATGCAGAATAGTTTCACCGCCCTGAGAATTCTCCATGCTCTGCCTGTTTATCCCTCCTTCCCCAGTAACTCTGGCAACCACTGGTCGTTGACTGTCTCCGTGGTTTTGCCTTTTTCCAAACACCGCCTAGTTGGAATCATACAGTATGTAGGCTTTTCAGATTGACCTCTTTTATTTAGTAATATGCATTTATATTTCCTCCATGTCTTTTCCTTGATTGATAGCTAATTTCTTTTTAGTGCTGAATAATATCCCATTTCCTGGATATACCACAGTTTATCCATTTGCTACTCAAGGGCTTCTTGGTTGCTTCCAAGTTTTGGAAATTATGAATAAAGCTGCTGTAAGTACACATAAGTTTCTGGGTGAATATGAGTTTTTAACTCCTTTGTTTTTTTGTTGGTTTTTTTTTTTTTTTAGTTGGAGACTTACTCTGTTGCCCAGACTGGAGTGCAGTGGCACAATCATAGAGCCTCAACCTGCTGGGCTCAGGCAATTCTTCCACCTCAGCCTTCCAAGTAGCTGGAACTATAGACGGGCGCCACCAGGCTCGGCTAATTTTTTTATTTATTGTAGAGATGAGGTCTCGCCAAGCTGCCCAGGGTGGTTTCGAACCCCTGAACTCAGGCAGTTCTCTTACCACTGCCTCCCAAAGTGCTGGGATTACAGGCATGAGCTACCGCGTCCAGCCAGCTCCTTTGGGTAAATACCAAGGAGTGTGTGATTGTGAATCTGAGTACAGATGAGAGGCGATGTTTCGTTTTCTAAGAAACTACCAAACTGTCTTCCAAAGTGGCAGTATCACGTTGTATTCCCACCAGCAATGAGCGAGAGTTCCTGTAGCTCCAACATGTGTTTCATTGTTCTGGGCCCTAGCTACTCTGATAGGTGATATCTGAGTGTTGTCTAAATTGCATTTCCCTGATGACATATCACGTGACACATCTTTCCTCATGCTTGTCTCCCATCTGTATATCTCAGTGAGGTGTCTGTCAAGATCTCTGTCCCATGTCTAAATCAGGTTGTTTTCTTTTTGAGTCTTAAGACCTTTTGTATATTTTAGTTAACTTCTTTTTTTTTTTTTTTTTTTTTTGAGTTAAAATCTCACTCTGTCGCCCAGACTGGAGTGCATTGGCCGCTCCCGGCCACCGCAGCCTCGACCTGCTGGGCTCTGGCGATCCTTCCACCTCAACCTTCCAAGTAGCTGGAACTACAGGTGTGCGCTGCCACACCCGGCTAATTTTTGATTTATTGTAGAGATGAAGGTCTCACCAAGTTGCCTAGGCGGGTCTCGAACCCGCGGGGCTCAGGCAAATCCACTCACCTCAGCCTCCCAAAGGTGCAGGATTACAGGCTGAGCCACTGAGCCCGGCCACACTATCTTTTCAATGGTAACTCTCTCCTAATCTCCTGGCCTTACTGCTGGTTTCTTTTACTCAGCATCGTTATTTTGTGAATTGCCCATTTGCTGCATCACTAGCCAGTTTCACTTTGTCATTCAATATTTAACTGTAGAAATAAGCCAGGAACAGAACATTAACCACCCAGGTCCTCACGCACATGGAAAAGCTAAAAAAGGTTGATCTTATAGAGATAAAAAGTAGAACAGAGGCTGGACACAGTGGCTCAGAGGCTGGGCACAGTGGCTCACACCTGTAATCCCATCACTTTGGCAGGCCAAGGCAGGAGGATCACTTGAGGCCAGGGGTTTAAGACCAACCTGGGCAACAGAGCAATACCTCATTTCCATACAATTTTTAAAAAAATTAACCAAGCATGATAGTGGGTGTCTGTAGTCCCGACTTCTTGGGAGGCTGAGATGAGAGGATCGCCTGAGCCCAGGAGGTCAAGACTGCATTGAACTGTGATGGTGCCACTGCACTCCAGCCTGGGCAACAGAGACACTGTCTCAAAGTAAATACATAAATAGCATATTGAAAAATTCACTGTCAGCCGGGCTCGGTGGCTCAGCCTGTAATCCCACGCCTTGGGAAGCTGAGGTGAGTGGATTGCCTGAGCCTAGGGTTCGAGAACCACCTGGGCAACTTGGTGAGACCTCATCTCTACAATAAATCAAAAAATTAGTTGGGCATGGAAGCGCGTGCCTGTAGTTCCAGCTACTTGGAAGTCTGAGGCAGAAGGATCGCCGGAGCCCA